CAAAAATTTTGTTTGAAGAGTTATTTAAAGGAAAATAGCAGGAGATTGGGTCTTTAAGTAAAATCAAAGTTGAATTAGTGACTTTTATGCTAATAATTAAAATTTAATGAAAATATATAAAGATTTTTCAATTAAGAGAATTAGAGTCTGTCATATTTTCAAAACCCTAGAAACAGTAGTATCAAGAAAATGTGAGATTCAATGCAATCCCAATCAAAATCTCCATGACATTCTTCACAAAATTAGAAGAAAAAAATCCTAAAATTCATATGGAATCACCAAAGACCCTGGGTAGCCAAAGCAATCCTAAGCACAGAGAGCAACATTGGGGGTATTACCATACCATATCTCAAACTATATTACAGAGCTATAGTTATAAAAACAGCATGGTACTGGCACAGACACAGACACGCAGATCAGTGGAACATAAATGAAGACCCAAACATGAGTACATACAATTTCAACCACCTGATATTTGACAAAAGTGCAAAGAACACACACTAGAGGAAAGAGAATCTTCAACAAATGGTGCCTGGCAAAACTGTATCTCCACCTGTAGAAGAATGAAACTAGATCCTTATCTTTCCATCTTGCACAAAAGTCAACTCCAAATGAATCAAAGACCTCCGTGTGAAACTTTGAAACTGTTAGAAGAAAACATACATAGTACCTTACAAGATATACATGTAGGAAAGGACTTTCTAAGTGGTACATCAGTTGCTCAGGCATTAAGGTCAACAATTGACAAGTGGGACCCCATTAACTAAAAAGCTTTTGTACAGCAAAAGAAACAACCAGGGAAGTGAAGAGGAAACCCACTGAGTGAGAAAAAAATCTTCAATTACACAACTGACAGAGGTTTAACATCCGGAATATATAAAAAACTCAAATACATAAAGAACTCAAAAAACAAAGAATCAAGACAACAGATGACCCTACTAAATGATGGGCTATGGATCCGGACCAAGATTTCTCAAAGGAAGAAATAAAGATAGCTAATAAACACCTTAAAAAGTGGTCAACATCCTTAGTAATTAGGAAAATGAAAATTAAAACCACTTTAAGATTTCATCTTACCCCAGTCAATCTTCCTGAGATCAAGAGAACAAATGATACCAAATGCTGGAGAGGATGTAGGGAGAAGGGAACACTAATTCACTGCTGGTAGGATTGCAAACTTGTGCAACCTCTATGGAAAGCAGTGTGGATAACTCTTGAAAAACTAAAAATGAATTTACCATATGGTCCAGTTATACCACTCCTTGGCAGATACCCAAGGGACTCATTCTACTGCAGAGATACTTGTATATCCATGTTTGTTGCTGCCTGACTGACCTAAGCTCCTACCTCCTCCAGAGCTTGAGCTGATCCTTGTGGCTCAAGGACCTCACCATAAATCACACCATTAGCATAGACAATCTGATGCAGCCCAAAATTTCCCAGGGAATCAAAGACATCTTACAAGGCAGAACTTTCTAAGAGCTGAGGTTACCTTCTAAGAGCCAGGGCAAAGATCCCTATTTTTCAGTATGTACAATCTGCAATAAAGCAACTAATTATGAATATCTGAGATTGGAACCCAAATATTCTGACCTCAAAGATCATCTGCTTCCTCTTTATGGAACAGCCTGTCTGTCCACCACACCAGCACTCCTGTTCTCATTTGGCCATAGATAATACAAACTGAAAAAGAACCCACAAACAAGAACAGAAATTTACACTATTTTGTTACTAGTATTTAACATGTTGTCCCACTAGACAAATACTGCATGGAGGTGGGAACTACATAAACAGAGATAATACAATTGAAAGGTTGTCTTGACAGGATATTATATTAATAACTAGGAAAATGGTGCTCTGGATTTAAAAAAAACTTGCACCACTTCATAGCCAAAAGGAATACCTTATCCAAGATAGTATTTTCCTTATTTTGCAATTCACTTTCTCAGTTTTTTTCTTTTGAAGATTCTTTAGTGAAAATAACATATACATAGAAAGTTACACAACCACAAGCATGTAGCTTTGGTGCATTTCCACAGTTAAAAACACTCCGGTCTGGAAGAACACCTTTCTTTCCTCACAGCTCTGCTAAAGTTCTCTTGTCTTGGCTGTAATCCTTTCCATGCTACACTATGAAAGCTACATTTTCTTTACCTTTACATTTTTCTCCATAGAACTGTCTTCTGCAGTTAACAGCAATTTTATTTCTTTTCAACCTGCCATCTCTAAATGTAAGCTTCTAGAGAACCATAATTGGGGTGGAGTGGATTGTTGTTCACTACTGTGTTTGCAGGGGTACATAATAGTGTTTGGCACATAATTTGTACTGTGTGAATATTTTTAATATGTATTTGTTGAATAATTGAATTTTTTTCTAATTTCTCCTAGTGTTTTATTTTTAAGTGGAAGTAATGATTCCTAGCAGCTGTTAAAGTCATAATTTCAATGTTTAAATTCATAAATAAAATTGATCCTTATAAAATGAGAAAAATTATAGTGATCCTTATATTAAAATATTTTAAATTTACATTGGTTCTTGAAGAACAGATAAAACATTAAGCATGTAACCAGTCCTTGTAGCTATAGACAAGTGTTGATGAAGAAGAAGCAGCTTTTATATTTGCTAACTGACCTTGCCTTAATCCTTTACTATCCTCCTGCTCAGTTTTTGACTTTTTCAGTGAAGCTTAGCCAATATGTATTTCTACTTTTTGATTCAACAGAGAATAAATTAGTCATGTGCCTCATAATGTTAAATTCTTAACAGACCATACATATGATCATGGCCCCATAAATCATAAATTATAAAGGAACTGAAAAATTCCAATAGTCTAGGACATCAAGGTAATGTAACATGACACTCAATGTGTTTGAGGTGATCCTAATATGAATATACCTACTTTGCTGCTGGTCATATAAAAGTATAGCACATAACAGTTATATAGAGTAAAGTTAAATACTACTGCTACAACAACAGTTATCAGTTTATGTGCTTGCCATTTCATTTTTATCATTGCTTTTTAATGTACTTCTTACTTAAAAAGTTTTTTTAAGTTTGCTGTAAAATGAGCTTCAGGTAGAGGAAAAAGAAGCATTCCCAAAGAAGGCACTGATCTCATAGAGGACAATTCCATACCTCTTATTGCCACAGAGGACCTTTCACCAAGACAAGGTGTGGAGGGAGAAAATAGTGATATTGAAGATCTTAAACTTTTGTAGAGCTATGCTAATGTATATGATTGTGTGCTTTCATTTCTAACAAAAAAAAGTTTAAAAAGAAAAGGAAACTTTAAAAAAAATTAAACCAAAAAACAATAAGAATAGAGGGGCTGGAGAGATTGCTCAGTGGTTAAGAACACTGGCTGTTCTTGCAAAAGACCCTGGCTTGAATCCCACCACCCACATGGAGGTTAACAACTGTCTAACTCCAGTTCCAGAGAATCCAACACTCTCTTCTGTTCTCCATGGGCATTGCATGACACCAGTGCACTTACACACATGCACACATAACACTCATACACATAAAATAAAAATAAATTTAAAAAAATTAAGAATAGAAAGTAATGTTTATGAGATAGCCTATGTGGTCAGCCTTTCCTTGAAATCACAATCCTCCTGCCTCGGCCCCCTGCTGTAGCTTCCAGCTAAGGAAATCTTTCGCTTCTCAATCACTTTGGAAATAGGGAACCAGAGGAAAGATAGTTTACATCTTGAATAGACAAGTTTTGGACAGCCAAAATCAGTCTCAGTAGAGATTACCTACTATAACATATTTCTTCTGGGAAAGATTTGTGGTGTTTTTTTTCAAAATTCTGCATCAGCAAGATGGGGGGGGGCATGGAAGAAGCTACCAATGCTCATTAGATTCCAAATGGCAAAGGGCCACCAGGAAACCCTCCCTGAATAATGGGTCGAATCAGTCATCTTCATGGCCCCTATCCTCCACTAATGACTGGTGGATGTGGAACATAAATGTCTGCTCTAAGAAACAGATATTTAGACATGCATAGTCATATAAGAAAACCATCATAAAATGAAGGGCAGACCATGCTGGAGAAGATAAAGGTATATGTTTAAAAACAAGGATTACTGTGTCCTCACAAATGAATAAGGTCATGCTGAGAATTCCCTCTGCAGTCTATGGCCTGATTGACATGCACTTTTATAACAATTTTTTGTATAGTTTCCTTAAGTACTAATATGATTTTAAGGAGTAAATATTTTAGATTGAAAAGTTTGGCTCCTTGACTTTGTATAATTAAATCGCAAAAGCTCTGATCCCAAAGAAAATAAAGGCTCTATATTAAGTCCAGAGAGAGAGAGAGAGAGAGAGAGAGAGAGAGAGAGAGAGCCTTCTTTCAAATGGTAATAGATATAATATAGGTTCTCAGTGCCTAACAGTTAGAGGTAAACCAGTTGCACAATGCATTTGTTTTAAGCTGTTACTACTAGAGGTCAAGAAGTTTCTAAATAATTTTAAAGTTTATAAAATAGAAAAGTTTGAGAGACAGAGATAAGTAGATCTCTGTGAGTTCAAGGCTAGCCTGGTCTGTAGTGAGTTCTAGGCCAGCAAAGGCTACATAGTGAGATCCTGTCTCAAAAAATTAAAATTGTTACAAAAATCTAAGTTTTACTTCCTGAAGAAAAAAGCTTCTTAAAAATTAAGTGTAGTGTTTACAGAATCTACAGTAACATCTAGGCCTTCAAATTCATTTACCCAGAGCAACTTCCAGTCATACCTATATGCCTTCTATGAACTTACTATTTTTATCTTTATGCCATATTTTTATTGTACCTTTTCTAAATTTAGATATACAAATGCTTGTTCTTGTGTTCTAATTGCTTGCACTATTCAGCACAGTAACATGCTGTATAGACTTGTAGCCTATGAGTAATAGATGATGCCTTCTACGTTTGTGTACATTCTATGGTGTTTGCCCAGTGACAAAATTGTTTAATGATTTATTCCTCAGAAAATAACCATGTTATTAAGGGATGCATAAGTCTACTTCTAATCCTATAAGAAGATACTAAATCAAGCACCAGATTATCTGAAATTCAGACCATAATAACTATCTTGTATTTTTAATACTCGAGTTGTCATAAATCTCAAACATAAAACTCCAATAGAGCCTGATTTATCAATCTCCAAATCATTCTGTACTTTTGCAAACAGTTTTTGCATTTCACCAACCAGTGCATGTTGACATATCCATAAAATGTGATACAGAAGCTTTTCTTTCTAGAGTTAAATGTTCTCAATTGAGATGTTAGTAATACAAGTATCAGAAAATTTATCTTAGCCAATAAGCATTCTAATTAATAAATACCCTTATGTTAATGACGGTGAATTGTGTAATTATGTGTATATCTTTATAATTGTTGGCATTGTCATATTTCTCATTAGCAGATAGTGCTACTCAGTTCCTATTGTGATAATTAGGTTAAAAGGAGGAAAATTTTATTTGGGCTCATAGTTTCAGGAGTGTTATATATTCACTTGGTCCTGTTGCTGTGGCCCTGATGGTAACAACTGTTCATCTGGCATGAGTGCATCAAGAAGGAAGCCAGTTTACCTCATGTCATCTGGGATGCAAGAAAAGAAGAGTGGCCAGGGTTCCAGCATCCCCTTCAAGGGCATACCCCAGTTACCTACCTTCCATTAGCCCCCATATCTATCCTAAAGGTTATGTTGCCCCTGAAACTGCTGAAGGTGCTATATGCTGTAACTAAGCTTTAAGGCATGAGTCTTTAAGGGAAACTTTGAAACAGTAGCATAGAAACAACTTACCAAAGTAGTGTTTAGTAAAACTCTTATATTTTAAAGTGTTTGTTATTTCCCCTGTAGAACAAAACTGCTTTCTTTTCTGAAATATATTGTTTGATTTTGTTCTTTGGTTTTAGGAGGTAATTCCTCACATGGCTAAGGAATATGGGTTCCAATATGAGCTGGTCCAATATAAGTGGCCCCATTGGCTTCATCAACAGACTGAAAAGCAACGGATCATTTGGGGTTACAAAATTCTTTTCCTTGATGTCCTTTTTCCACTGGCAGTGGACAAAATCATATTTGTTGATGCTGACCAGGTAATAAGATTCATTATTTTTAGTAGTAATCAAACTGCTTTCATGTTTTTAAGTAAACATTCATAAGAGCCAGTTTAGCTCATTTACTGACACCATTGCTATGCTTCATAAACACCCAAGATATGATTGTATTGTATTAGCAAAATACTGTAAGTTTAAAAGCAATCTACTAGAATATGGGGAAGAGTTTAAAGTATTGCAAGGAGTACTACTTACCTAGAGCATGGCAGTTTTCTATCTGAATAGTCATTTTTAATTTGGTAAGAGTAAAACGTACTTGCATTAGTCATAATAAAAATAGTTATATGACTCATATGAATATGAGTTGATTTTGTTTTTCATTCATTAATTTCTTTTTATGTTTTTAAGAGTTTCATACAATGTATTTTGACCATATTAACCCCCACCTCCTCCCTTTAACTCCTCCCAGATCCATCCCTACCTCTCTACCCCCCAACTTCATGTCCTTTTTTAAAAATTTAATAAGGTAGCTACAAACAACTCTCATTCTTCTACCTTCAATTATTTTTTATTCAACAAGTTAAAAAGTATATGTATTTCTACCACTTAAGAAAAGGTTCTAATTTTGTTTAGAAAAAAATTAAGGCTCTCAACTTCAAAATTTGTGTTTGTAATTTATGACTTTTCCTTTATCTTCCTTTCAGTACTTCAGTAATCATTAATCATGAGAAAATATTTGGAAAATGTGTAAAATTTCTAAAAATACTCATATATTTTGGTGTAAATGTATTATAAATTAAATGCATAAAATGGAATTTATCTAGGACAAAAAATATCTTTTCAAGTTCTATATTAGAATTTACTTATACTCACCTACTGTGGTGACATTTTCTGTAAATCCAGCACTTGAGTGGTAGAGGCAGGAGGAGCTCAAGGCCAGCCTGAGATCAGAGTGAGATCATCTAAAAAAAGCCAAAAGAGGGGAAGAGGAAGGGAGAAAGAGAAAGGAAGGAAGAAGAGGGGCGGAGAGGGAAGAAGAGAAATAAGAACAGATGAAAGAAAGGATTTACTTATTCTCTAAAATGCTATTATTTTGATACTCCAAGTTGATAACTATCAACTATTGTAGTTAAAAACTTTAAAGTGAAAAAAGCACGTATAGAGGTAAAGTATACGATTCCAAATACATTGTCTTAATTAAGTTCTTTCTTGGGCCAGCCAGATGGTTCATGGCACTTACTCTACAAAAGCCTAGCAACCTGAGTTCAATCTCTAGAACCCATGAAAATATTGAAAGAGAGAACCAGCTCCACAAAGTTGTCCTCTGACCACTACACTCAGGCCATGGCACACATGCCTACCTGTACACACATTCACACATACACACAATAATAATAAATGAGAATTTGCTTAAATAGTAAGATTTGGGGGCTGGAGAAGTGGCTCAGCGGATAAGAGCAGGGGCTACTCTTGCAGAGGACCCAGGTTTGGTTCTCACCACCCACATGGCAGCTAACAGCCATTCATAACTCCAATTCCAGGGGATTCAACACCCTCTCTGGTCTCCATGGGCATTGCATACAGAGTACAGTTGTACAAGGTGTAGGTAAAACACTGATATACATTAAAAAAAAATAAATTTCAAAAAATAAATTTTTTCCTACCTCCCTCAACATTTACACTAATATTTTTCCAGCAGCTTGAGTCAGTTAAAAAGTAAAGCATATTAATATTATCATTAAAGCTCTTTTTAGAGTGATAAAGATTCTTTCCTTTATGGTTCAAATTAATGTTTTCCAATATCAGTTCCTACATTGAGAAACTAAAAGCTATGGATTTTGAAATAACCACTTCCCAAAATGTGTATTATATAAACTAGCTTTCTTAGAAGTGATATAACAAAGTATTCTTACTGGTAAGGCCACCATTCTATAGACAAAGAATATAATTTTCATGTTTCTTTTAATCTATGAGAACAAGAAGAAAATGTGAGCATTTAGTCAATTCACAGCAAATGACAATGGTGTGAAGAAAATGCACCTTTCTGAATATCTACAACAGCGTTAACAATTTGGAATTCACATAGAAAGAACTTACAATGTTTTATAGTCTACACTGTACTGAGACACTGTTCTAATTATTTAGATTGTGAGACATGACCTAAAAGAACTTCGAGATTTTGATCTGGGTGGAGCTCCTTATGGATATACTCCATTTTGTGATAGCCGCACTGAAATGGATGGATATCGTTTCTGGAAAACAGGATACTGGGCATCACATCTTATAAAAAGGAAATACCATATTAGGTATGACAATGAATGCTTTTACTTTTTCACAACTGAAATGTATCACAGTATTCACTTTTCTTAGAAATTATAACCAATTACACACTGTTTTGTGGAAGTCACTGTTAACAAGCCCTTCAATAAATGAACTCATAATATTTTTTCTTACAGTCTCATGATACTGTTATCTCTATTCTATAGATGTGGAAACTGAGGCAGTCAGCATGTAGGCGACTTGCCCAAATTTATCTTGCCTAGTACTTAGTTGAGCCACAAGTTAGAACCAAGAGATAGTATTCTGGAATATGCTCCTAACTGCTGCAAAAGCTTTATTTGGTTTATCAAATAACAAGGTGCAAATACTGTCATCAACACAGTTACTCCTGGGCTAGAGACATGGCTCAGTAGTTAAGAGCACTGGCTACTCCTGTAGAGGACCCAGGTTCGATTCCCAGCACCTACATGGCAGCTAACAACTATATGTAACTCCATTTCCCAGGAATCTAGCACCCTTTTCTGATCTCCATGGGCATTGCACAACATGAATATACTTACATACATGTAGACGATACACTCATATACATAAAATAAAAACAATAAAAATATTTTTTAAAAACTCATTTGTAGGACTGAGTTTCATAAAAACTTAGAAAAATTTGAGGTGACCCTAAAAGAATATAGGTGTTGCCAGAATTTTAGCAAACTTCAAAGTCTGTGGAAACAGTGGAACATTGGGATCAAGCTTATGAAAGAAATATTCATTAAGTTCTGTGATGTCTATAGCTGATATTGTTACTGTAGATATTCACTGGGGAAAAGCCATGTAAGCAACACAAGCTATCAAGACATGTTCCTTTTTTCAGTGCCTTGTATGTGGTGGACCTCAAGAAGTTCAGGAAAATTGCAGCAGGTGACATGCTCCGGGGCCAGTACCAAGTTCTTAGCCAAGATCCAAATAGTCTTTCAAACCTAGACCAAGTAAGTAAAATGTTAATGAAGAATTTTAATACATATATATATAAACTGCTTTGATCTCCTACGTATAAGCAAAATCTTTTCTTTCCAGCTTCTTTTCCGAAGTTCTGCCCTTTATGCAAATATCTCTACTTATGCACAATTTTTCACTTCAAGTTTGATATTTTAAATACTTCATTTAATAGTCATACATGAACATAATAAATTTAGGCCCAACCCTAAATCTATCAGCCTTCCCTTCCATTTCCTCCCCTATCTCCCCCTCTTCCCACCCAACTTCATGTGCTCCCTCTTTTTTAATGTAATATTTGTAATTCTAATGGTATTTAATTCTTACTTTTTCATTCTCAAAACTCTTCTGGTCTTTGTGCCCTGTCTCACTTAGTTACCCTCTTTCACTTAATCTTCCGTCATCATGAAACAGTTCTTTCACATCCAGGTACTCCTCCCTCTCCCTTGTGTCTCTCTCTTTGTTGCTGGTCTTTAAGACAAACTCCTTTCATTCACTGTTCCCACAAAGACCATCTGACAAGCACCTTTTTCCTCATATCCCATTAAATTCTTCATTATTGCTCTAGAAATTTCAGACAACTTACACAAAAGCAAGACACCGCAGCCTGTAATCATTACTCTTTTGATTTATTAGAATCATTCATACTTACTCATCTAGCTAGCATGTGTTGCATATCTCCTATGAGCCACTCTCCTAACACCTGAGACAGAAAACTAAACTAAAATTCTTGAGGTCACAATTCTAGTTCCCCTCCCCTCCCCTTCCTTCCCCTTCCCTTCCCTGCCATCCCCTCCTCTCCTCTCCCCTTCTCTCTTCTCTCCTCTCCTCCTTTGCTTCTCTTGTCTCTCTTCTCCCCAGGCTTCACACACACACGCATCCATGTGTGTGTGCGTGCATGTGTGTTGTGTGTGTGTGTGTGTGCGTGTGTGTGTGAGAGAGAGAGAGAGAGAATTTTGGAGCTAAAATAAAATAAGAAAGCATGATAGAGTTTAAAATGGTGAATAGGATTTGAGCTTTTCAATTGTAAAGTAAGTAGGCACCTATATGTGCCTATGAAGGTAGAATTCAAATGGATTTCATATGAAGGCCTAAAAATTGTTAATGCTATTGTTTGGGAGGATTCTAAGCAGTTTTCCTAAGGTAGAAATAGTCCATTTGTGTTTGAGAAATGTAAGGAGGCATTGAAGCTGGAATAAAGTAGGGTGGAAGGTGTACAAGAGAAGGGAAGAGAGGTAATAGTAGGTCCAAATGATGCAGAAAGTTTAGGCTGTTTGTTTAAAAATATATTAAATGGCTGGTCATGGTGGCACATGCCTCTGATCTCAGCACTTGGAAGACAGAGGCAGGCAGATCTCTGATAGTTCAAGGTCAGCATGGTATGCATAGCGAGTTCCAGGTCAGCCAGTGCTACATAGTGAGACATTGTCTAAAAAAATAAAATATATATATAAATATATATATAAATATATATATTAAATGATGGGAGCTGGAGAGATTTCTCAGTGATTATAAGAATACTTGGTGCTCTTGCAGAGAATCAGGGTTTGGTTCCCAGCACCCACATGGCTAATAACGATCTTTGACTTCAGTTCCAAGAGCTCTAACACCCTCTTTTGTCCTCTACGGGCATTCCATGCAGTGGTGCACTTACATGCACCACTATTATATTAAATGAAAAGTTATAGGTCAAATTACTAATGTTTATTTAAAATGGCATTTAAAGGGACTAATTAAAACATTCTTGAAAGTTAGAACATTAAATATTTGTATATGAACATATAAAATAGAATCTTCTCAATATTTATAATTAATAGAAAACTGGGGTTCATAGTAAGCTCTAATAACATGCCAAATTAAGTTATAAACATGTTTTTATAATTCTTTAGTGATTTTAACACAAGCTATTTGTAAGGAACCCAAAGTCTTACATATACATGAAAGTCTGAATATGCTTATCACTTATCTGTGAATAATGAAACAGAAAATACTCATTTTCCAACCTCTCCAAGAACTGAGAAGTTCTCCTGACATTGCATCCCCATGTTGGTATTATTGCCCTTATTATAATTCAATTTGACTATCATTCCCACCAGTCCACTGGACACTTCATTAGGTCAAAGGGTCTGGAAAACTCTTGTTTTGATATGCTCTCCTTGCAATGTGAATGCTTTTAACATCTCCTTCAGTGGACATCAAGATACATGCCAGACATTCCTGGCTCTTCTTTGATGCCTGTGGCATTCTTTCAGTAGTTGCAGTGGTGAGCTACTTTTCCTTTACTCAAAGAAATGTTGCTTTTCTCTGAGTCTCTGCTCTTGGCCCATTTTTCATTCTGTAAAACCTCTGTGAGCAGTCTTTACAGTCATCCATGATTTCAGTTTCTGCATTCCTGTCAATAATTCCCAGATTTTATCTCTGGATCTTGACTCTCCCTGGGTGCAAAAATTATGTGTTCAAGTTATTTATATTACCATATTACTGCTCCAGTCTCTCAAAGTAAAAAGCCAAAAAGGTCATGTTCTGTTCCTCCTCCACCATTCCCTACTTTAGCAAATACCACTTAGCCGCCTGTCTCAGTATAGGTTACTGAAGAAACACTGACTGTATTAGTTACTCTTTGGTCACTGTGATAGAATGCAATAACCAGAAGTTTATAGAAAGAAGAGTTTATTTTGGGATATGGTTCTAGAGGCTAGATGTGTGTAATGGCAGGGAAGGCATGGTGACAGAAGTGGGAACCTGAAAGATCACATCTTAATCATACACAGAAAACAGAGAACTGGAAGTGGGGGAAGGCTGTAAACTCTCAAAGCTCATTCCCGAGTGACATACCACCAACTGGAGACCAAATGTTCAAATACATGACCCTGTGGGGGACACGTCTCATTCAGACAACCACACTGACTGAAATGAAAATTCGTTTGGCAGAGATATTAGAAAGTACTTTCCATACCAACAACTGTAGGGGAAGGAAGGAAAGCAAAGCTGTGGAGAAGATAAAGATCTGCAGTTTCAGTCAGTGCTTCAACCAACTACACAGAGATCTGCTATGCTGCTTGAAATAAAAGCTCCAGCTGTCAAGTATACTTTGCTTCCTATATTTATCAGCCTTTTCTTTCTCTTCTGAAAGAATCTTGAGGGACCAGGCATGGTGGTGTATACCTGTAATGCCAGGACTTACAAGGATGGTATTTGAGGCCAGTCTGGGTTACAGAGAGAGTTCAAGGTCATCCTGAGCTATATAGTGAATAAAATGTCATGGCCACTTTGGCAAGAATTTTGGTGATTTCTTAAACAGATAACCACATACCTATATGATCAGGTTTTCCACTTCAAGATTTCATCCAAGAGACTTGCAAGCATTGTCACCCATAGTATTGTACATGAATATTCATAGCTTTATTTGTAACAGACCAAATCTAGAAATAGTTTTGTGTCAGTTATCTGTTGATACATAACACCATATTCCAAAATACAGTAGCTGAAAAAAGGGAATTTCTGTGAGTTAAAAACCTGAGACTGATATCGCTGGACGCTCTGCCCTATAGTATCTCTCAAGGCTACAGTCATTGTGTCAACCCAGAGACCACCAACTAATCTGAATACTGACAAGATTAACACCACTCACATGGTTGTGAGGAGGACTTTCTTCTACAGCAGCCTTTATACTAGAGATCTCATTTTTCTTTCTGGCTATTGACTATAAACAAAGCATCTGTTTCTTGTCAATTGGCCTTATCATTGGGGCATGCGAAAAGTCAGGAAAAAAGAGAATACCAAACAAAACTGAAGTTACAGCCTATTATAGTCTTTTCAGTTTAATTATTTTAACTCATACTTTTTTAAATTAACACATTAGTTTTATATATTAATGGAATTCAATGTGAAATTTCAAAGAATGTACAAAACATAAGTTGATTAATGTATCCAACCATCCTTCCTTTCACTTCACATTCCTTTCATCCTTTAGCACCCTTCCAATCTCTAGTAGTCACAGTTCTACCTTCAAATTGATTTTGTTTGTTTCTACACATGAGAAAAATCATGAGATACTGCTCTTTCTATATCTGGCTTGTTTGGCTTAACAGGACATCCTCTATGTCCCTTTTGCTATAAATAACAGGATTTTATTTTTTCTTTGTGAATCCATTGTGTATAAATACTGCAATTTCTCTATAACCACTCATTTTTGTTTTGTTTTTGTTTCATATGTACATGATTTTATGTATCTACGCAAAATACAGGAACAACATATAAGAGAAAACATAAGATACTTTTCTTTCAGAGACTGGCTTAATTTATGTAATGTGATCATCTGTAGTTGCAAACATTTTCTGAATAAACAGTTCTCTTAACTTTCAAAGGACATCATCTTTATTCCTTTTTTTTCAAGCTATATATTTTTTATTTCCTTTTTTGTCATTGCATTTTCTGGGACTTCTTATATGAGTAATAGGATCTTACAGCTCACATAAGACAACTAATGCTTATCCCCTCTAAAACAGAGGGAATGTGCCCTTTGTTCTTAAATGTGAATTTTTAGGCTAAGAAGGGCTTTATACCTGGAATATAAACATAGGGAAGATGTCACTAAATCAGTCTGAAATCTCTGTCTTTATTTACTAGGCCCATTTGTCAAATATTCTTGAACCCATATGCTATCAATCTTTGCTTAGAAAGCCTTGAGCATGCAGAAATGTGAAAATGTTCTTGCAACATCATTCCCAACAGGGAGATGAAAGATTACTTCAGGATTTGGAGATTGTGATGGTGTCCAACATAAATAACAGTAGCAGGCCATGTAAGCACATAATCCTGATCAAGATGAGTAGAGATACTGACAATGTCCATTGCAGGGAATATAGAGTGATGGTTTTCTGGACCTCCCTGTTCATTCATGATTCTAGAGATGAAGCCAAGGGAGAAATGGGTGTAGTTCTAGCTCATGAATTCATATGTGACATGACACGAAATTATTAGGTAAATTTGACATTTAAAGCTTAACATATGGCGATATCTCATTTGTTAAATTTTTATGATATATTTAAAGTCTAAATAACAACTTCAACTTCGTTCAGATTCTAGTATACTAAATCAATTTTTTCTACAGGATCTTCCGAACAATATGATTTACCAAGTTGCTATTAAGTCTCTTCCTCAAGACTGGCTGTGGTGTGAAACCTGGTGTGATGATGAATCCAAACAAAGAGCCAAAACAATTGATCTGGTGAGTGTGTGTATTTTCATTTGCATCTAAGTATATACAAAAATGTTCAAATTAAATATGACTTGTTTTATAAATAAAATGGCGTATGCATATTACCTATGTTGACAAGTAAGAGGCTATGTTCAGGGAGCCCCCAAGATTGCCCTTAGATCTGATGATTTGTGAAGTAGACTCAAAGAGTGGAGAATATACTTGTACTTGTAGGCAAAGGTTATTACAGTGAAAAGAATATAAAGCAAAGTCAGCAAGAGGAAAGGCCCATGACAAAGGAGAAGTCAGGCTCAGGATTCCAAGATTCTCTGTGAAGTCCCAAGGACAAACCTAATTCCTCAGACAGCATGGAATTCCACAGTGTGAGTGAACTATTGCCTACCAAGCAAGTTTATTAGAAACCCAGTATTCATGTTTTTTCCGAGAGACCACGTAAGCATCCTCTATGTGACTCATACCAAACATCCCAGAAAGCAGGTGTTTAGCATAAACCATGTTTGCACAGTTTTGAGGAAGTAGTAGAACCTTGCCTAAAATCTAAGTTTCAGATGCCAGCCTAGTGCCATGTCTACAAATGGACCTTTCTAGGAAGAGCAGTGAGAAGTTATTATGATAAATGTTCTCTGCATAGTATCTTTTGAAAGACCATGAATCAGCTGTATCATCTGAGCATTACCTTCAGTTTAGTTTTCATGCCAGTATTTTTCCAAAATAAAGACAATCAAGATGATAATTTCTACGTGATCCTATATATGTCTTTTCTCTGTTTTCCTTTCTTCATTTCTGGAGATTATTTTTCTTAGGTTTTCATTTTAAGTAGTTTATACTCTATAGTTCATCTCTCTTAAAATATTTCAAGCATTCATTTTCTAGCAATCTAGAACTTATATTTTAATACCATATTGCCATTAGTTATTGTAAGATAATACAGCTCTTTTGTGACCAGATTTTTTTTAATTTTTTTAGAAGAAGCATTTCATTACAGCTTTAACATACTCAATAACAGTTTCCAGAGCAAAGATACATCTTTTTCAAAAGTGGCTATAAAATTTTTAGGATTGCTGTGAATTAATACAGTCACACAATATTGAATTCATTATAAGCCCTGTAAGATATAACATTGAATGAGTTTTTAACCTTTAAAAAAAATCTCCATTTCATTTTAAAATATACTGTTTCTTACAAAAAGACTCATTGTTTTTTCTACTAACACTGATATGTTGGTACATGCATCTCTAATCTGTATGTATCTGATTATTAGTAGTCATAATCTGTTGCATTCGGATCCTTGGCACCTGTGTATGTCTATAAGGTCATCGGGTAGATTTCAATGGTAATGTTTATCACCTCTACCAATTAACGTGACAAATTTCCATGCTTCCTCCTCAAATATAATTCATTTTTTAAAATTTGATTTTTTTTGGTGTGTGTATATCACACAGAACATCCCAAACCATCTTATTCAACTGTACACCCACTTCCCAGGTAGCACCCTCCCATAGCCTCCCTCCCCCCACTAGAGCCCTTATACTCTATTATCCCTGCTACTTTCTGCTGTGTTGTCAGCACCCGCAGCCATTCCCCACTGCTTCTCCATCTGGTGAATCTAGTCAGCCTATCTGGAGGTCTTTGTTTTAGGAAGGTCAGGTGCTCCTCATCTAGCAGCAATCAGTTGTCAATATTCCTTTAGATAAGATTGGGGTCTGCTGTTCATTTTCCCAGTTCTATGCTGGGTTACTAAATGGGAGTCCCTTGGGCCACCCTGGCCAAAAACTCAAAAGAAGGTATCTCCTATCTGGCATTGTTGCTTGTTATGTAGCCTTTAGCTATACATATGGACTCTTAAAAAAATTATATTAGCCCTTTTAATCTTTGGTTACACTTTCCTTTTGGGTGGCTTCACTTGGAAGCATGGAGGAAATCTTTCCTCTGTGTTGACCCTCCTCTTTGTAGACAGGACATTGGTTCAAGTCCATCTCATGCAGTCTCCTCAGCCTCCTTGAGGAAGAGGACAGATGACCCACCACCATTACAGAACATTTTGAGAGATGCTTATAGTCCCCTGGAACTAGTCAACCTAGGAGGACAAAGAACAAAAACTGTCCTATATGATGACCCACTGACCAAATTATTATAGGCCTTAAAGTATGTCTGTTAAACATCCAAGAAGGCTAGTTCTACCAGTCTGGTACTCTTAATTATTGTCTGCCATGTACATAAATCTATGGCAAAGACCAATTGTTCTCGGATAAACCTTGCCTAGACATATATTTCTTGATCTGGTATGTTTAATTTGTCAGTAGGTTGTTGGACTAATATGGTTCGCTCTGGTTTTAAAGCTAGCTACACATTATTTATCTCTCTAATTGTCTAAACCCTCCATCATGGTTTCCCCAGTTGAGGTGCTCCCATTTTTCCCCTTTCTCCCTTAATAATACCCTTCTCCTTTGGTCCTTCTTTCCCTTTACCTCCTAGTTTCCTTGTATACCCTTCCCCCCCTCCCTTAAACTAACCCAATTTTTATCCGTATCTCCCTTATTAACACCTGTTTCCTACTGTTCTTCTCTTTCAGGTTCTTTTCCTTTACCTCCCTAGTTCCTTTCCATTATCCTGGTTCCTGTAGTTATGTCTGGATACATACTCGCTTTTCAGGATTAGGTTCTAGGATCCACATATGAGGGAGAACATATGTCGATTTTTTTTCTGAGTCTGTGTTACTCTTATAACAGTTTCTAGTTCCATCCATTTACCTGCAAATATCATGATATCATCTTTACTGCTGAGTAAAACACCATCATATAAATGAACCACATTTTCATTATCCACTCGTCAATTGAGGGACACTTAGGTTGCTTCCGTCTCTTAGCTATTGTGAAAAGAGCAGCAACAAACATGGATGTACAAGTGTCTGCAATAGGACGAGATCTTTGGGTATATGCCAAGGAGTGGTATAACTGAGTCAAATGGTAGGTTCATTTGTAGTTTTTTGAGAGTTCTCCACACTGCTTTCCAAAGTAATTGAACAAGTTTGCAACCCCACAAGCAGTGGGTGAGTGTTCCCCTTTCCGCACATCCTCTCCAACATTTGCTATCATTTGTTCTTTTGATCTTAGCCAGTCTGACTGGGGTAAGATGAAATTTTAAAGTGTTTTTAATTTGCATTTTCCTAGTTACTAGCGATGTTGAACATCCTTTAAGATGGTTCTTAGCCATCTTTACCTCTCATTTTGAAAACTCTCTGTTCAGCTCCTTAGTCCATCTTTTAATTGGGTTACTTCCTGTCTTGATTCTCTATTTTTTTGAGTTCATTTTATATTCTGGATGTTAAACCTCTGTCAGATGTGTCAGTGGTGAAGATTTTCTCCCATTCTGTGGGTTTTCTCTTCGCTTCTCTGGTTGCCTCCTTTGATGTACAGAAGCTTTTTAGTTTAATGAGGTCCCGTTTGTTGATTCTTGACCTTGTTCCCTAACCAATTGATGTCCAGTTTAGAAAATACTTTCCTATATCTGTATATTGTAGGTTTTTGCCAAAGTTTTCTTCTAACAGTTTCAGAGTTTCAGGCTTTACATTGAGGTCCTTCATCCATTTGGAATTGACTTTGGTGCAAGGCGAAAGATAGGAGTTTAAGTTCCATTCTTCTACATGGAAATCCAGTTTTGCCAGCATCATTTGCTAAACATGCTGTCTTTCCTCCAGTGAATGTTCTTGGCACCTTTGTCAAATATCAGGTTGCTGAAATTGCATGTACTCATATTTGGGTCTTCAATTTTGTTCCATTGGTCTATGGGTCTATTTTTGTGCCACTACCATGTTGTTTTTATGACTATAGCTCAGTAATAGAGCTTAAAATCTGGTATAATAATCCCCCTAACATTGCTCTTAGTGCTCAGGGTTGCTTTGGCTATCCAAGGTCTTTTGTGCTTCCATATGAATCTTAGGATGGTTTTTTCCAATTCTGTGAAAAATGTTGTGGGGATTTTGATTATCATTGCATTGAATCTATAAATGGCTTTTAGTAGGATGGTCATTTTCACAATATTAATTCTTCCAATCCATGAGCATGGGAGGTCCTTCCATCTTCTGGTGTCTTCCTCAGTCTCTTTCTTTAATGATTTAAAATTTTCATTGTAGAGCTCTTTAATGTCTTTGGTCAGGCTTTATTCTGAGGTTTTTTTTTTTTTTTTTGCATGCAGCTATTGTGAAAGGGAGTGTTTCCATGTGCTCTTTCTCTGATTGCGTGTTATTGGTATATAGAAAGGCTACAGACTTTTGTAGGTTAATTTTGTAACCTGCCACTTTACTGAATGTGCTAATAATTTCTAGGAGTTTTCTGGAGTCTATTAGACATAATATCATATCATCTGCAAAAAGGGATAATTTGATCTCTTATTTTCCAATTATTACTCCTTTAATTCCCTGCTCTTGTCTTATTGCTCTTGCAAGAGTTTCGAGCACTAGGTTAAAGAGAAATGGAGATGGTGGACAGCCTTGTCTGGTTCTTGATTTCACTGGGAATGCTTCCAGTTTTTCTCCATTTAGAATGATGTTGGCTGTGGGTTTGTTATATATGGCTTTAATTATGTTGAGGTATGTTCCCTCCAGTCAAATTCCCTCTAGGACTTTGAACATAAATTTGGGTTGAATTTTATCAAAGGCTTTCTCTGCATCTATTGAGATGACCATGTGGTTCTTGTCTTTGAGCGCATTTATATGATTTATGGTGTTTATTGACTTACGTATATTGAACCATCTCTGCATCTCTGGGATAAAGCCAACTTGATCTTGGTGGATGATCTTTTTGATGTGTGTCTGTATGCAGTTTGCAAGTATCTTGAGAATTTTTGCATCTATGTTCTTAAGGACATAGTTTCATTAAGGTCTATAGTTTTCTTTTTTGGTTGTATCTTTACCTGGCTTTGCAATTAGAGTGATGCTGGCTTCATCGAAGGAATTTGGAAGTTCTCCCTCCATTTCTATCTTTTTGAATAAATTAAGTAGTATTGTATGT